AGAGAGAGAGAGAGAGAGAGAGAGAGAGAGAGAGAGAGAGAGAGAGAGAGAGAGAGAGACGATGCGAAGCATGATTGCAATTTTTTTTCTTCTGCCAAGAGGCAAAATGAGCATATCAATGGCACTCCTCTCCACGGCAAGACTCACCAAACATCCTGCCACTGTCAGCCGGCCAAAACAGTGCCTCCACACCTCACCTATGACAGTCTCTTCGGTTAAAAAAATTCTATGTACAGGGAACAGCCTATGAAAGAGCGCAGCTTCTCGCAGAAACCCTGGTCACAGTAGATTGAGGGTCTTGACGAAATCCCCTTCGACAAAAGGACTTGCACTCCTCCATCAGGCTCCCCAACCAAACTACTGCATTACTGTCATTAGGTTGAAGAGCTATCCTTCTTTCACATGCATGCCCCATTCCATTCCCAGTTCATGACTCTGTATCCATCCACCGAACAAGTGCTGTGTCGATTCTGAGATGCACACCTTTCCCGAAACGCCCAAGGGGTGTCGACTGAGCTCTCTTTCTCTGAAAAACTACGCAGACGGGACCAAGCTTTGTTGCCCGATCTCTCAAAACTTATACACAGCAGACTTGAGCAGAGATCTCTTCGTTTTCAATCCCTCACTCTCCCATCAAACAGAGGACTACCAAAGTGAAATCCAAACGGCAACCCAGTGAGCATCTTTGTGAACAGATGTGGCTGCGGTTACAGTTTGCATATGCTATAATTGCTGTACTGGTCTGAGTCTGGGCTTCGTCTTTTCAACAGCCCATGGCTGTTCTGCGCACTCTCTTCAACAGCCTGTGGCTGTTCTGCGCACTATGGGCAAACAGGATGGGATCTTCCATCCCGTCAAAAGACGCACAGATATATCCACCTTCCCTTGGGCTGCACAAAGTCACAGCAGTGACCCTCGCATCGCCCCTCTGCGCCGATTCACACCCACATCGACATCGACGATGCCCTTGCCTGCGCAAAGGCATGGCACTGACCCTTGCATTCCTGCTCTGCAATCATCAACAATAGATATCGGACAAAATGGAGGCAACGACGCATCACCACAAACCACCTGAGAACAGAGCAGTGCGCCAGGATGCATGCGGCTAGTAAACTGCCTGCCACAAGTAATGCGACATGACTTCAACTGTGCTCAATGCTCGACTACCAATTACACATGAATTCTCATTCCATACCCCCAAGAATGAAAAAAAAACAGGACTAGTACACAATCCAACAAAATCTAAACAAGTACCTGAAACCTGGCAAACTTCCAACAACTACTACTCCTTCACCACTCCCTCTCTCCTTCCTAGCACTCTCCCTATCTGCACCCCCACCCACCAACCAACTCTCTCTCTCTCTCTCTCTCTCTCTCTCTCT